GCGATTTCAATAAAGAGAAACTACGCAATTCGATTTAGAACCCTTGAAACTCTGAAATTGATGTTTCAATTTTGTTCTTGCTATTATTACATTTGCTAATTATAGAGGATGATGCTAGTTGTGTGAACAGTTTAGGCCATGACTTGTTCTAGTTTGAAATTGTGCCCTTTTTTCTTTTGCTTATACATTTTCCAGTTATAGTCTTTGCGGCTGAATTTTGATTGTTCTGTTTGTTCATAGGGGAATATTCAGAGCCTCACTGCTAGTGACCTAGATAGGTATAATGCAGATGCTTGGCTTCTTTCTCCTCCTTGTCAACCTTATACTCGACAAGGTGATTCACCGTTTCCCTTACTATTACACGACTCGCTTTTTTTGTGTGTAGCGGATGTGATGAATACTAACAGTTTTTTGGTTAGGCCTTCAGAAACACTCTGGTGATGCTCGTGCGTATTCTTTTCTCAAGATTCTCGAGCTTATACCACATACATCGAAGCCTCCACAAATGTTGTTAGTAGAGAATGTTGTTGGATTTGAGGTATGTGTTAGCCTTTGCTTACTAGCTGGAACTATAATCACATTTTCAACAATCATATGTACTTGTTCTTGATCATCTTCTTTTGACTTATTTGTGGTGTTTATTGGTGCAGACTTCGGATACCCATATGGAAATGATTGATACATTAACAAAATTAGATTTTGTCACACAAGAATTTATTTTGAGTCCGTTGCAATTTGGTGTGCCGTATTCAAGACCACGTTATTTTTGTCTGGTACGTTCTCCTTACCTTTTCATTATGTAATGCATTTGCCGGACCTCCATGTCCCTTTTTTGCAAAGATCTTTCTGCTTATATTATGTACCCAAATTGTTATTTCTACTACTCGGAGAATGTATATGCTGGACTATTCAGCTGTATGAACTTTCTCATGCACTGTGCACTCCCTCTCCTTATTCACTTATGATTTTCCGTTTTTTGGTTTGTTCTGCTTTTTCTCTTTTTAGTTTAGTTAAAACATCTCACAAACTTCTGAAATCATTTGAGTTATCTGGTTACTTTGCAGGCCAAAAGAAAGCCTCTGTCATTTCAGACCCAACACAATAATAACAAACTGCTCTTGTCTCCAGGCCCGTTATGTGGGCGTGATGATCAGGTGGGGTTTGGAAAATGTCAAGCAGAAGAGAGATTGGACAATTTACTTCAGTTTTGCGAACCAGTAGAGAACTTTCTTGAGTCAACAGCACATGTAGACGGCGAGCGAAGTAGTATTGATGACTCTGAGAATAGGTCTAAAGATTGTTGTGGGCAAGAAGACGATTCTGTCCCAGAGTCCGTAAATCAATATCTAGTACCAGAAAGTTTGATAGAGAGATGGGGAGACGCAATGGGTATCCTTTTATGATTTCGTCTTTTTTTTTCCTTATATACTGTTTCTGGGACACCTGTTCTGCTCATATCGATCATCCAGCTAGTTATATTCCTGAGCTGTTACTAGACATTGTTTACCCTGATTCAAAGAGATGCTGTTGTTTCACAAAGAGTTATTATCGATATGTGAAGGGCACTGGTTCCCTCTTGGCAACCATCCAGGTATGTTCTTCAACTTGAGTACACAATACTATTCTCCTCTACCTGCAAGTGCTGAGAAATGCTTATCATGAATCTGTGATCATGCAGCCAAAAATCAAGGGGAAGGAATCTTGTTTGAAGGAGCAACGGCTGAGATACTTCACCCCTAGAGAGGTTAAGCACCGTCCTTTATTTTTACTACCAATGCCTCACCGAAAAGGAGGGATCAGTTTTATTTCAGTGAATGATGATATTTAGTTTCTATGTTGATTAGGTAGCTAACTTTCACTCATTCCCTGAAGATTTTGAGTTTCCCAAGCAGATAAGCCTTCGACAGAGGTACGCTGTTGATCGCTTTCATGCCATAAACACCGTTTCAAACAGAAAACGTTACTGTCTATGTAGAATTATGTTCAGACAAGTATAACAGAGGCACCATTTTGATTCCCACATAGAATTTAACCGCAAAATGTGGAATTAGTTGAAATAAATCATGAAACGGTGATTCTAATTACAAAACGATGTTTGCTGAAGCAAGGACAAGTTGACTACACTGTAGAACTCATGAACTCATCCTTTTGCAGATATGCTATGCTTGGAAACAGTTTAAGTGTAGCAGTCGTGGCTCCTCTGCTTCGTTATCTATTCGGTTCTTCTCCATCTTGACACGACCCATTATGGTGGTCTGGTCTTCTGCGCCAACCAGTTAATTCTCCCGTCCGGAAACAAGCCTCTACTTTTTTGCGACATGGCATGGCATTGTATGGCCAATGACCATATTCTTCAGTAAACCATATAACCATGCATGTACTCTTGTGATTTTGGGTCTCTATTTAATTTATATCATTAAAATTTTGTTTGCTGATAATAAAGGTTCAGTGACCGATGAGCGAAGTTTTGTCCTCCAATTTGCTTACTGATTTGGGCCAGTTATTAAAAATGGGCCTTATTGGGCCGAGTAATAATATTCGAAACACACTTTCCGTACGAATAAGAGTGACCATATTTGTTTGCTGTGT